CAGAGGGAGCGCCAGATCTGAGATTCAGGATGCTATACAGCCTGGCTCTGAGCATTTGATGGCAGAGAACAAACCTAAGGCTCAGCTTCTTCTGACCTGAGGGAAGCGTGGACATCTTGGTTTTGCAGGTATAAACCGGATGTGGTCATCTGAGAGCTCACAGAGCTCCGGCGCTAAGGTCACCATCCTGGCTGTACAAGAGAACTTCTGGGGACAAATTGTCAGTGGTCACTCCAGATGTCCTCAGACAGAGCCCCTGCACAGTCAGCCCTAGAAAACAGTATTCTTTTAAAAGAGCTTTCCAGGGGGCTGGGGATTTAACTCAGTGGCATAAGCACCTGCCATGCAAACAAGCGGTCGTGAGTTCGATCCCCGGTACTGATTTTAAAAAAAAAGAGCTTTTCAGATTATTCTATGTGTGGCTGTGACTGAGAAACACTATCCTTTTAGTCTCATCCTAAACCTTTCAGCTAGGGAATCTAAAGCTGAGCATCCGCTGACATCATGAGCCAGATGGCAGAAACCCTCCCAACTCAACCACAGAGAAAGGACTTGGTCTTCTGTTTTTGTTTTGCTGAGTTTGTTGTTTTGTGGTAGTGGGGATTAGACCACGGCTCTTCTCACTGCACTATAGCACTAGCCTATTTTATTATTTTTGAGACAAGGCGTGGTTAAGTTGCCCAGGTTAGACTCAAACTTGTGATCCTCTTGCCTTAGCCTCCCAAAGTGCGGGCAATATAGGTGTGTACCACAAGACCTGGTTTGTTTTTGTTTTGCGACAAGGTCTTGCTATGCCGCCCAGGCTAATGTCAAACTTCTGGACTCATGTGTTCTTCCTGCCTCAGCCTCCCCTCCTGTAGCTGGCAGTATGGGAATATGCCACTACACCCACCTACATTATCTGATTCTGAGGCCTACCTTCTCTATTTATTCACTGTGTGGCCATGGAAAAATCACTGAGCCTCTCTGAACCTGAGCTATCAAGATACAAAGAATGTGAACTGGAGATCCTAAATGAGATAATGGACCTAAGTCACCTAGCAGCTTCCTAGCACCAGCAGGCCCTCAAGAAATACTTCTTTCTCCTCCTCTGGAGAACCCAACCCTTCTGACTTTTCCTGGTGCATGATGCATCGTGATCCTTGACTCTGAGTTATGCTTCACTCTAAGCCATTCTGAATCTGAAGGTTGAGCCCTTTCCTGGAAGCCCAGCCCACCACAGGGCAGCATCGAGCAGGTTGTGGGGTGCTGGCCAAAAGGCTGGCTCTGAATTAATGGTGCAGACAGAACCGAGATCCCGCTGTGGTTCTAAGGCTGAGGTGATGCTGGTGTGGCATGTCCTCTGACTCCCTAGGAGCCCCACTTGGCCAGCCCACTTCCCCACTGACTCACAGTTCCTCTGGAGCTGGTCTTCAGCTTACTCATCTGCGTCCCCTCCATGGTATGTGCTTTTTAAATGGATGTTAGGAAAATAAACAAACCATAGAGAAAACCATTGTCCGGCTCCATAAATACAGTGAGGGTATTTTGTCTGTCTGTGATTGGCAGCCCTCACTCAGCGTTCATTCCAGAATCACCCTCTTTGCAACTATGAGGACCATGTGGTAGGACGGGCCTGTGACTTGGCGCCAGAAGTCCTGGTTTTGAATCTCCACCCTGTGGCTCACCAGCAATGTGATCCCCACAATGACCCTGGGCAAGGTGTCAAACTCTGTGTCACCATATCCTCATCCAGATGATGACAAGGATCATCCCCAACCATCCTGCACACCAGTGATAGCTAAAAGCATGCTTTATAAACTGTAAAGTGTTGCTCTCTCAAGCTACCATTACAGCAAGTTTCCTGGAGAGCAAGGCTACTTTTCATGTCCCGAACTCCTGAAAGCTTGTGATATGCTAAGCAGGAAAGTGGTTGGAAATGGGGGGTATGGCAGCAGCTAGACCAGCAAGTAGGTCAGTTGTCCCCACTCAGGCAAGGACAATGGCTATGTGATGTTTGAGGCTGATTCTAAGGGAGATAAAGGGGTGCAGGCTTCCTGGAACAGGCTATTGGGAGTGAGACAGCAAGACTGGCTGAGGGTCCAGACAGGGGACACAGGTCATCAGGTACCTTAGCGTGGGGCCCAAAGCTAGGCTGGGGAGGGAACTTAGGGCCATCAAGCAGTTACTGATGCCTTTCTGGCCTAAGGCTGAGGTACCCACCTAGGCCCAAAACTATCTTCCCTGGTTAAGCAGTGACTTTCTACCCTGGGACTATAGGTCCTTTGCCACTTACTGCAAACCTCAAACATCAGAAGATACAAGCACAGCCCTGGCCTCAGAAAGCTGAGTTTACTGAGAGCCAACACAGAGAAATGGTGACCAGACAGGGGACTGAGACTGGCCAGTGTCACTCTCTGCTAGTCTCATCCAAGCAGCCTCCTTTGCACCCATTTCCGCTGTGTTTCTGATCCCACTATTTCTTTCTAACATTCTTCATTGCTGGAATACTACTGTCCCTTCTTCCCCACAAGGCAAGTGCTAACTCACGCAGAAGGAGTTTTTAACCACTCCCGCAGCCTGACAGCCTCACCTTCATCCTGGTGCTGGGGTAATGATCCTATTACCTTCCATCCTCCTATAGAAAAGTTTATCAGAGCCTGCACAGTCAGTTACATGTTTGCTCTCTGTGTATCTTCTCCCCTGCCAGATTATAACCATAATCCCTGAAATGCTGCTCCACCTTCTACAAAATGCTTTCAGGGGTATAATTTAATTTGATCCCCACAATAGACCTACAAGGTAAGTAATATTAGTATTTTACAATAAGGAAACCAAAGCTTAGAAAGGTCAGACAAAATAAACAAAACAAAACAAAAGGTCAATCTGTCTGATGACGCACGGCCCATACACATCACACGTGCCCAGCTGCAAACCTGAAAAGTGTTCTCGCTTTGATACCAAGGTTCTGCCTGGCGCTGAAGCACTGCAAACTGATTAAAGGTTGGGAGCACTTGCACTTGTGTCAGCTCCTGCAAGTTACTTAACCTCTCTATGCCTCAATTTCCTCGGAATACAACACAGCTGAAACCCATCTCGTAAATTCTTATCAAAGATTAAAGAATACATTGAAGTACTATATTTAGAATGGTGCCAAACATCATAATTAGTTTAAATTATTAGTAGACCTTGAATGATTCTCTTGGTCTCTTAACTCATTAAACTTTTCTGATTCATTTTTATATCTCATAATAACTTGATAGGTAGCCAGTAAGAAAGTTAAATTTTTCCAGATTGACTAATGCTGTTTTAAGATGGTACTTTTTTCTCCTACTCCCCCCAACAGAGGTTCAACAGAAGATTTTTTTCCTGCTCCAATCCATATCCTCCATGTGTATGCACACACACACAGAGACACACACCCGCACATGCAAACGATGAAACCTGGCCAAGTGTTCCACAACATGTACTGGTCATATCTGGGAACATTCACAAACCTAATTTCTATCATTAGAGTGGATCATTACAAAGCATATTTCTCCACTGCTGCAGTTGCAACCTAACACTCCAGAAATGAGTTCTTACAGCAACTATTTTTTTCTTTCAATAATGTATATATTATATAATGTTATACATATAATATATATTATCTAATATATATATATATATATATATATATATATATAATTTTGTGGAGGAGAAAGTCTCATGTCTCACATGATCAAGCAGCTATTTAAGGCCAAAAGCAAACTTTCTTTTTTTCAGGGGTCCAGTCCCTAAAGCCAGAAAACAACCTCTAAGCCCCTGGGTGGTACAGTGAATGGTCATCTCTCCTTCCTCTCCTGGGTAGGATGATCCTTTTTAAAAGCCTCCAAACACTTGTGGGTGTGGCCACAGGTTTTAGGAATCAGAGGTCTAAGTTCCCCAGGGCAAAAAGCTTTATTCTTTGCAAGATTCCCTTTATAGAACACTCAGGCCCTCACTATCTCTTCCATCTTTCCTACTAGTAGAAAGAAGGCCAGGGAGAGGACCAGCCCTTGGTAGGAGAAACCCAAGTAGATCTTCAAAGGTCCCACTGGGAGCAAAAGCGGAGAACAAATCAGCCCATACAACTTTGGCACTGGGATTAAAAGAAGTGTTGTATTCTTTGAAATGGATTTTACATACAAATGAACTGAATACCATAAACATGTCAGCTTTATTCAGTCCAACCAATACACCAAGCATTAAAACTCGGAGGTAAAAATGGATTGTGGCTTTTTGTTGATAACACTGAGGAATTTTGGCTCGCAGCCCTGGTCAGGCCAGACAAATAGGGCGGTCTGCCTATTAGCTGTCAGGCGCATCTTGGGGAATGAAACCAAAACCCCAAGTCAGGGTTCTAGGCATCACCAGGAGTTCATCTTTACAAGCGGCGGGGAGTCGGGCTTGGCGCCCCGATTCCTGTGCCCCTCCTCCAGCCCCGAGTCATTTTCCAGGCTCGGCCGCACTTCGCGTTTCCTACATTCCTTTTCTGCGCTCAGATCCTTTCGGCCCTCGGAGGGCGGACAGCTGGGGCTGGAAAAAGCCAAGCAAGAGGCGCCGAGAAGGGGGTGCTCAGGGTGCAGGACAAATCAGTGCAACCAAGAGGCGATGCGCTCAAAAAGGGAAGAAAGGTCCCTTCACCCTTCGCGTCCACAGGCCAGCGCCCCCACACTTGCAAATTCAAGGGGCTTCCTATAGGGCACCCCTTTTTTCGGCAACTTCCCCTACCGCCATCCCGGATGATCCGCTGCCCGGTGCCTTCCTGGCACGGCTCCACTCGGACGCTCGGGTCCCGCCACCCCGCCTCTGCCCAGGCCAGCAGGGGTGTCCCCAGGTCCCCGACTCCTGGGTCCGCGCGCCAGATGACCCTGCTCACGGCCCGCTTGCCCAGTCCTCTCCTGGGCCTGCAAGACCCCTCCTCTTTTCCAACACTGTGCCGGCCACAGGGTCTCCAGGGCTGCCCCGGAGATGCCTAGGTCCCCCTCCCCCGTCCTTACCTGAGTCCGCTCGAAGCTCTCGCGCTCTGCAGCCTCCAGCCCCGTGCCGACCCCGCGCCGACTCAGCACCTTGGGCAGCGGGTTAGGCACCTGTTTCATAGAGCTAGCCATCCGGTCCATGTTGCCGCGCCTCGTCAGGAGAAGCCCTCAGCGGCCCGGGATGCCCTCGGCGCCGCCCGCCTCGCCCTACCCGCGGGAATCCGGCGCTAACGGGACAGTTTCCGTCTCCCACTGGCTGGAAACGCTGTCCATCTCCATGGAGCCCCGCCCCTCATCCAGAGGCTTCCCCCAGACGCCCCCACCCCTCTGGAGCCGCTCCGCCCATCTGGCCCCGCAGGGCTACGGACATATTGTGATTGGCTCATAAGCCTATCTGTCATCACGATCCCGCCCCCCACAGCGGGAGGCGGGGCCTGTTGGGCTGCCCTGACCTGCCCCCGACTCCCGGCGCACGGCGCCTGCGCCCCTGCCTCCCGCGCGCCACCACCAGCGCTCCTCTGGCTGCCTTCGCCGGCAACTGGGTATGTCCGGCGGTGGGGTCTGCATGGGGGCTCCCAGGCAATGTCGGCAGCCTGGAGTAGCCTGTTGCCTCCTCTCCGGCCTGGAACGGGGCGGGCCGGCTCAGCGCCTGGTTGGGACTCCTGATCTCTTCCCTCCGCGACCGGACTCCGCGCGTTCCTCGCTGACTGTCTCTGAGCGGAAGTCTCGGAGACCTGCGGCCGCCAGGATCTAAGGGACTTTCTCTCCGGACCCCGCGTGCCCCTGCCTCTTTCTCCCACTGAGGACAGCTCCTCAGTGGGGATGTTCAGGAAAGTCTCAAGTTCCCCCATCAAACACCAGTATAGATGAAAAAAAAAATTTTTTTTGACACTCAATGGACTGAATGGCACCTTTACGCATTGTATTTGCATTGATGCGAATGTGCATTTGTTTTTTGTTTTGTTGTGCTGCGGGGGAACACAGGGCCTTGCGCTTGCTAGGTAATATAGATTTTTTTAATTAAGAGCTTTTGGTAAAATCAAAGCCAGGCGTAATGATGCACACCTGTAATCCCAGCACTCCGAGGCCAAAATAGGAAGATCGCAAATTCGACCCCAGCCTAGCCAATTTACTGACTTGGTGAGACCCTGTCTCAAAATAAAAAATGAATATAAAAGACAGGGATGTAGCTGAGTACGAAGACCCTTGGTTCAATCTCTACGACTGGGAGAAAAAACAAATCACATTCAATAAAGAAGCAAAGGAGAGGCCGGGCATTTTCAGGCACTAGGGACCCGCTGAAGGCTTTGTGGGGTTGGCATTAGAGGTGACGTGGAAGCTAAGGAGGGGACCCTGGGGAAACACCAGGGCACATAAGAAGCAGAATCAGAGGGAAGAGAAAGTTCTGTGAATAGGTTTGAGTGCAGTGGAAGTGGAGGCAGTAGCGGTGCCATAGTTTTCAGAGGGGAGGATTTAAGGGTGGCAGTGACTAGAGGAGAGAGAGGAGGAAGAGGAGGAGGAAGAATTTCCTTGAGGATGCAACTGCTTGTGGAGGAGGGAGATGAACCCCCAGTCTCTCCTTATTCTCTGAGGGTTCACCTTTCCTTAAATTGTGTTTCTGTCTGGGCTTCGAGAGTGTGACCTCTCCTTTGGTTCTTCTGGGGAGAGGTTTCAGATGTCACTTAATTTTCCAGTTTTTGTCACTTGGCCAGGTAACATTAACTAAGTAGGGAGAACTCTGCAGGATGGCTGAGAAAGAAAACTTTAATGAATTCAGAGATAACAGTATCAGTATAGATGTGGCCAAAGGCAGGTGGAGACAGAGGACCCTGAGAAAGAATGACAGAAACGGAGGAAGGGCCAAGAAACCAAGGCCAGCCAGGGATCCTCAGGAGGACTCCTGTCAGAAGGTAAAGTACATCTGTGTCCTTTTGGGGGCTGTCAAGGTGTATCCATCAAGCAGGCCATGGTAGCACATGTCTGTCATTCCAGTACTCTGGAAGGCTGAGGCAGGAGGATCAGAAATCCATGTCCAGCCTGGGCAACTTAGTTACTTAGTGAGACCTTATTTCCAAGTAAATGAAGGAGGTATGGGGAGTGGGGATGTAGCTCAGTGTGAAGGACTTGGATTCAATCCCCAGTACCCCCAAAAAAATAAGAAAGAAAGTTTATCTATCAGAATTGGAGCAGAAGAGGGTTTGCATACTCAAAAACTAAACAAGAGTTTGAAAAGGAACTGTGGCCAGTCATGATGGTGCATACTTATAATCCCAAGACTGGAAAGGCTGATGCAAGAGGATCATCTCACATTGAGGCCAGTCTGGGCTCCAATGTGAGCTCAAGGCCAGCCTGAACTGTATAGCAAGACCCTGTCTCAAAAAGAGAGAGAGAGAGAGAAGAAAAGTGCCAGGGTATATTGGAATGGGAAAAGCTATTCCTTCTGTAGGCGCAAAGGGACAGGGTTGTAGGGCTGAAACTGGGCTGGAACCAGTTGGGGCTGTAGTTCTGGCAGAGGAAACACCTACCACCTGACCAGAGCTGTGGGTCTAAATAGAAAATCACAGTCTAGCAGTAGCAGGGCAAAGTGGGGCCTGGGGATGAACCCCCAGTCTCTCCTTATTCTCTAATTTCCTACTAGTGCTGCCCTTTGGGTGAACCTACTTGGAAGTCAGGGACAAAGTGATCCAGGCACTTCTGCTGCAGCCTTCTTTTTAAGCGCAAAGTAGGGTGCGGAGTAAAGAGCTAGATCTGGAAGGGTGAACAGAGGTTCCTAGTACAGGAGCCCAGGAGAGTGCTTTTGAGGAAAAACACCAGAGAAACAGGTAAGATTCTTAGTACTGTTACTTACTTCTGCCCATTCTGAGTCCTACATTGAGCTCCTGCCTTGGACCAAGCAACAGAGTGATTTATGACCCATTCCCAGATTTTATGGCATCAATAAACATGGGCCCTTTAAACAGGGATTAGAGGACCAAGCTAGTTCTTATTAGAGTAAACCAGAGTAGGAATCTGGAATTTGTGGTTTGTGTTGCTGCCTCCTTCATGAAACTCAGAGCAAGTTAAAAACAAACACCTCCCACTTGTTGCAGCAGCCAAACTCTGCTGAGCAAGGGATGAGAGAAACTCTCTCCCCACAGGGTATGAACGCAGGGTTGCTGGCTGTGTTCAGTTTATTTTCAATCCCAGTGAGATAGGAACCATTTGTCTCATAGTTTTGAGGAACGCCCAGTTTGAGGACATGAAATTCTAATCTCTGGGAAACCTGTAAGCATCTTATTACCTCTCTGTAATACTGGTGAGATATGTGCCATCTGCTGTCTAGTTTGCATCTATTTAGCATCTGCCATAAACTGATAACACTATTCCTACAGATTCCTGAAACTCATGCATGCATTTTAATAGCTGTGATTAGATCAAATTGAAAGAGATTAAAGTGCATATATTCAAAGTTGACAATGTGATGAGTTTTGATATAAATGTGTATTTCTATGAAGCCATCACCATAATCAAGACAGTGAACACATTCATAATCCCCAGATGCTTCCTCTTGTTCCTGTTAACCCACTCCCCCCAAACTCTTGGGCCCAGGCAATTACTAATCTTTCTGACACTACAGATTAGTTTGCATTTTTTTTCTTTTTTCTTGAGACAGGGTCTCACTATGTAGTTCAGGTTGGCCTTGAACTCACTATGTAGCTCAGGCTGGCCATAAACTCATGGTGATCCTGCTGCCTCAGCCTCTTGAGTGCTGGGATTACAGACATGTACCACCACATCCAGGTTTTTCTTTTTTTTTTAAGCTGAGAACTGAACTCAGGTCCTCACACATGCTAAATATACACTCTATCACTAAGCTATACTCCCAGCCTCCTAGAATTTTATATAAATGGAATCACACCTGATGTGTTATTTTTGACATTTTTCACTAATGATGATTATTTGGAAATGCATCATGTTGTGATGTATATCCATAGGTTATTCCTATTTTTTTTTTTTTTTTGTCTTTTTCCTTTTCATCGGTACCGGGAATCGAACTCAGATGCTTATGCCGCTGAGCTAAATCCCCAGCCCCCTCCTTTTTGTTGTCAAGTAGTAGTCTGGTGTTTTGTGTAATTCCACAATCTGTTTATTGTGCGAACAAAATAAAAATTATAGATGGCCTTTTGGGTTGCTCTTAGTTTTGGTTCTTACCTCCCCCCCAAAAAAAGCCACTGTAAATAGTCATATACAAGTCTTCATGGCAACATATATCTTTATTTCTCTTGGATAAATATCTACAATTGCCTGGCTTTTGTGGTAAATGTATGTGTAACTTTTTAAGAAATTGCCACATTGTCTTCTAAAATAGTTGTACCATTGTACACTCCCACTATCAGTGTATAAGAGTTCCAATTGGTTCAAGTCCTTGTCAACACTTGATGTGATCAGTCTAAGTCTAGTTTGAATCTCATAGATATTTAGGTTTTTATTTCCCCAATGACTAATAATGTGGAATTTTAAAAACTTTTTATTTTGAAATATAAATTTACAGAAGAGTTATAAAGTTACAAGAAGTTTCTATATACCCTTTTCCTAGTTTCTTCTAATGGTAATATCTTGTGTGATCATAGTACAAGTATTAAAACCAAGGAACTAACATTGGTACAACACCATGAGCTAAACATTTGAGTTTCCCCATGTACTTTTTATTTTGTTTCAGAACTGAAGCCAACATCCCACATTGTCGTTAGTTATCAAGTTTCCTTCAGTATTTCCTGGTCTTTTATGATGTTAAGATATTTGAATAGTTCTGACCTGATGTTACATAGGATATCCCTTGATTTGAGCTTGCCTGGATTTTCTCATGAATAGACTGATGTTACACATATTTGGTGAAAGGCCACATTAGTGATGTGTCCTTTTTGGAACATTCTAATGGGAAGTACATACGATCTGTTTGTGTTTCTGCTGATGAGGTGAACCTCGATTATTGGTTATGGTGGTGTCCATCACGTTTCTCCACTGTAAAGTGACTATTTTCCCATTTGTGAATAATAAAAATTGGGCAGAGATACTTTGAGGTTATGCAAGTATCCCATTTCTCCTTTTTTGGGTCCATTTTTAAATTAGTTTGCTTGTCCCCTTATTGAATTAATAATTGGCTGTTTTAGTTGTAGGCTGTTGGAGAACTTTCTCAATGTACTGAGTCTCTTACCTAACTGTGAAGTAGGAGAAGTAATAATTCAAGCCATTAGTTGCTT